TACGAAAGCAGGATGAGCATGCTGTCAGCGTTATTCAACGCGCTTTGGAAAGGACGATGCTGGAATTTCCCTATACACACAAGTGCAGAAGGGAATCCGGAGTTCCGAGCTCCGTCACCGAACGAAGATCAGGGATGCCGTTGATTACGCCAAGAAATCGAAGATCAGGTGGGCCGGACACGTTATGCGATATAGCGATGACCGTTGGACCAGGGCGGTTACTGACCTGGATTCCTCGGGACATCAAACGAACTCCAGGAAGGCCGCCAACGAGATGGTCAGACTTCTTCACGAAAGCTCTGAACGAAAGGAATGTTGAACCTCGTGTCCCTGAAGCGAGAACGATTCACTAGACCACTCTGGCTCGTGACAGGGACGAATGGAGACGTTACTGGCGCCCGCTCGAGGAAGTCGATGATCAACGGGACGACAGGTGATACAGGTAATTATATTTTTCAAAAACATTGTATTTTTTCCTTTTCAATATTTGCTGATTTTCGCACGCAATCCTCACAATTGGGGAGAAGGTATAAGTAGTGAAAGTATGTAACTTCGATAAAAGAGGAAAAAATGAAGTCTTGGGGCTTCGACCAATTCCGCGCTAGGAATGCGCCACGCATCCGACTTCCATTCGGATTCGTAGTAGCATATTGGGTGCGTATGTGGCCTATACAATGACCTGAGATGGCCGGCAGATGTACAAGTCAATGCTTTCATCCTCCCCGACGAGCCTGGTACCAATTAACCGACCTCAGAGGGATGTAGGGGTTGGTTGGTTTAGGTAGATCCGGAATTCGAAAACATGACTGGCGTGTGCGATGGTGTTTCCCTTGCCACCACCTCCGCCTTCGTAACTTTCATATGTGGATCATTTCAGATCACATCACTACAGGACCAAAATTATGATTACACAGACTTCACATCTCCGAAAACGAATAATAGGCTAATAAAGCAAACCAACTCCAAAAAAGTATTTATCACTAATTCTTATCATAATACTACAATGAAACTGGATTCAGCTTTCTGCTTTCACTCAACTCCAGAGACGGCGATAGACAACATTGACGGTGGCACGCAATTAAGGTCACCGAATTTATCCCGGCTTTTTTCGAGGCATTTTGGAGATTATTCCAGTCTTGTCTGTGCCAATGCATGCTTCTACTTCCAAGGTTGATCCTACTGGGGACATCCATAGGATTAAGGTCAGGACTCCCAAGTGGCCACTGAATCGGAGGTTATGGGGTCAGAGGACTCTTTTTACGGAATTTCTAGACAATCTCCGATCTACGATCAGGAGCTTCATCTTGAAAATATGTCCTATTTGAATCGCCAAAGTGTTCTATTGCACACAACGAGATCGAAGGGGTCTCCAAATCATCTTTCACTCCTTAATTTACAAAAATAATCAGTGTTTTTGCCTCGGCAGTGATGCCTGCAAAGGCCATCGCAGAAAGTCCGTGGACCTAGCTCCGCATCATTTCCATTTCTTTCAACTTCATACAAATCTTGTCGCCCTGCCTTTTGAGCAACTTTTTCACCGTGAAATTTTTTCGTCGGTGAGCAGGAATTCCGCACGACAATTTTTTCGATGCGGCAGGGCAGCTTTAGGAAGCATCTTTTTTCTTCTCTTTAATTTGCTCACTGGAGAAATCCCTGTCCGGTCGTATAAGAGCCTTGTTGTGCAGCTGATACTTTAGGATTTCGCACAGTAAACTTCATAAGACAACAATTCATTTAGCCATTTTGGGTTCAGAATGAACTTCGCTGCTACGCAGATCTTCGCCCTGGTTCCTTAATACTCCCCTAAACATAATCGCAGGCCTTTTAGGTTTACAACTCCGATATGCAATTTTTTCCAACTCTCGAAAGCGTTCTATGGTTGGATGTACCACCTGCCCTGTTACGCTAAGTTGTCTGAAGATGCACCGTGCCTAGAGTGCTTGTAAATGCAAAGCGCCGATTAATTCAAGGGGTAGTGACGCTTACATTAATTTCAAAATCTACCAAAAGTTTAGAATCGCTAAGGAGGAAACAATGCAATTCAACTTGTGAAATGGAATAAAGCGAAAGAAGTGTTGTATGCTCAGAAAAAAGTTGGTATGAGCGTCAGCGTGCGCTGTAATCATAGCTTTAGCCCACCCTGTACATAGGGTCGAAGGGCTCAACCCATGTGAAAGCTCACAGTCAATCGGTCAACGAGTTCTTGATGACACTAAGCACTATTTCGTAGCAGCAATCTCGTGATTCTATGATCTGTCTCACTGATAACAGTACGAGGAATACGTTTGCGGTTTTACGTCTATGTCACAGGAAAGACGATTAGATGAAAGCGAGAAGATAAAAGTCAAAGCGTCAACTAAAGAAACATAAAAACTTTAAGAACTGGAATTATGTGGACCGTGTGGGCGCAATTCCATTCTGATAATGGTCCTTTTACGAGTTCTTCTCATTCTTTCCTTATCAGAACTAAAGCTATTATAAATTAGGATTTGATTCAAGAGACGATCAAATTAAATATTATATAAGGGGAAGCGTATCTAGAAAGAACGCCCGTAATCATGGTAGGTCCCTTGTCGTCATTTTTCTGAATTTCTCCTTTTCCATTTGTCGCTTCACGAACAATAAGTTTCCAGAAGTTCTTTGTACTTGCGCTGTACATCCATTTCATTAAAGGACAGGTCGCCAATGGCCCTGGTTGGTTCCCATTTCTGAGCTAGCACTGTAACAAGTTGATGCCTTAATGTTGTGATCTTGCAGGTGCCGCAGAAAATGAGGAAGTACCCTTGAAGGCGCAGTTGCTTAGCGGTGAGGAANTGGTAGAGTATTTACAGGAGAATCAGAACCTTTTTGAGGTAATCCATTGCTTAATTAATAAAACCGAAAATTCACGGAAAAGGGCCTGTTTACAGGCTGGAATAACGCCTGTTAGCTATGACATGGAGCATAGGATAATGGATTTGAGCTTCATCGACGAGAATAGAAAGCCCATCATTGGAGACGAAAACGACGAAGGCGATGACATTCCAGAGAGGTTGATCATTCTTACCACATAATTGCTGGAAGACTTGATTTGTTCCGGAGGCACAGTTCACGATAGGAATGGTTTCTGAGTTTCCTCTCTAGGATAGACCTGTAATCCTTGCGATCAGCAGAAGAGACGCTTTCCGGCTGTGAAATGACGTAGATTGGGCGTAATAAGAGTCCAAACCGGCTCGGCCGACGGATACACCCGAAGGCGGACGAGTATTCACGGCGTTATAGAGGCTGTGAAGACTGCACTATTCGCAACGGACGTACACGTTGCATGTAGCCAGCTGCACGCAGTCTCACACCCATCCGTACAGCTCATCCAAATCTCCTTTCATGTGACTTCTGTCGTCACATTCTCGTCAGATCTCATCTGAGCTGTGCTTCCCTTACTGAGGCCCTTGTTGCTGCAGTAGCGATTTCTCTGAAGGCTAGACAGATCAAAGCTCACCGAGAGAAAGGTAAATAGGCGAAACCGTCATGCAAAGTTGATAGTCAGAAAGTTTAATTTCATCATCCACAACTTTTCAAAACATCGTCTGTGAAACTGATCATTTGTAACAAGAAGTGAGGAAATCAGCTCAGTTGGAAATCTCAAACATGGAATTTGAAGTGGTTACAGCCCATCATGAGCAGGGCAACAACATTAAACGCCTATTTACAGTTTCGACGCTCGAACTCATTGGCCTAACTGCTCTTCGCTCACACATATTCGTGACCAAGCCAACTGCGGTAAGCAACTATTTACCGGTGCTTTAGGAGGCAGGATAGGTGTGGAGGAGTTTAGGCGGACGAACAGTTTTTCAGGCTCATGCTGGGCAGTCTCAACGGCAGCAGCTCTTTCAGATCGTATTTGCATTTCTACTAACGGGACAAAGCAGGTGCAGTTCGTCCCTAATGTTCTAACCTAGCCTTTGACTTGCGAAAAGAATTACAGGTCAGCATCTCAGCCACTGACATCTTGACATGCTGCTACCAATGTGGTTATGGGTATGATTTTATGATTTATAGGAGAATTTTCGGAAAACTGATTTACTAGTCTCCGTACACTTCACCAAAGAACACGGCGGCTTACCCAGCTTCGTTAACGAATGGGATATGCAAAGACATCTTTGGAAGTTCTCCCAACATACCCGCTTGTGCTCAGGAACCTTGATGATATGGGACCCTAATCGTCGGCAATCCTAACCAAAAAGGAACACATGTACAATTCAGATGTCAAGGCGGTTGGCTAATTGAGGCTTGGAAGTATTTCGCTCGACAGGGCGCTGTCACCGGAGGAGACTTCCTCGCTAAGGTACGGCCATAACAGCTTCCTTACATGTTCCCGAAGACTTATTAGACTTGTTGATAGGACTGCTGTCGCTCTTACCCGTTCCCTCCATGCGGACACCATGGAAACGAAACCTATTATGGAGAATGCAGAGGACGAGCAAGGACTCCAAAATGTAGAACGAGTTGCACACCTGGTTACAAGAATTCGTACAACGATGACAAGTTACACGGTATGTCCGCAAGTGAAATAACTGGTGTAAGTCTCGAATTGAAATCAAAAAAGTAAATGTTGGTTTTCAACTGGATTATCTATGTACCCGGATATGACTTGTTTTGACTTGATGTTTGTTAACTGCTGTTTTAACGCCGCAGTACGCGAAGCGAAAGTCTCACAAGGTTGGCGATTTGTGGACAAAACTTCAGCCTCGGACGGGACTTGAACCCGTACTTGTCCTTTCCGGGGACCGTGCTCTTATCCCTTACACTACCGAGGCCCCGCTTGCCCTCGCCTTCTTAATGGCTTATATGCCATAGCTTATCAGCACTCACACGTACAACGTGTTGAGCCGGTCGGCCAATATCAGCACAGAACCGTTAAGCTGTAAGCTTTACATGATATGACTTGTTTTGACTTGATGTTTGTTAACTGCTGTTTTAACGCCGCAGTACGCGAAGCGAAAGNCTTTCGCTTCGCGTACTGCGGCGTTAAAACAGCAGTTAACAAACATCAAGTCAAAACAAGTCATATCATGTAAAGCTTACAGCTTAACGGTTCTGTGCTGATATTGGCCGACCGGCTCAACACGTTGTACGTGTGAGTGCTGATAAGCTATGGCATATAAGCCATTAAGAAGGCGAGGGCAAGCGGGGCCTCGGTAGTGTAAGGGATAAGAGCACGGTCCCCGGAAAGGACAAGTACGGGTTCAAGTCCCGTCCGAGGCTGAAGTTTTGTCCACAAATCGCCAACCTTGTGAGGCTGTACCCGGATACTGCACAGAAACTGAGACAGATATCTACCACGGAACTTAGAGGTTATAGGAGAGTACAATCCGGGACCGGGAACCTCGTTTTCAAAGGCATGGTTAACGGTAACGATAAATTCGGCTTCTAATATATTCTCCTGGGATAAATCTGTGGCTCACTAGCATACCATATTGGCGCTGCCATGTTGGAAAACGGCCTAGGTAGGGTCTAGAGGGGCTTTGAAAATGTATTGCTTGTATGCCACACTGAAGGTGGACGAGTTGCAACGGCATTGTAGGGGCTGCACCATTCACAAGGGAACCCATGTGTAAATTCGAACAACTTCTTATAACCCATGTCGACAGTGAAAAACATTTTTGAACAATTCTGTTTTGATGTATTCAGCTCTTTGCGCAATGGTAGCAACTAGAAATTCGCCCAAATACCCTTGAATGCTCTACGACTTTAGAAGGGTGACTCAGAGTTATCGTGAACTGTGCCTTCAAACAGAAACATTGCATTTGTGTAATAAATCTGACAGAAGCGCTCGCCAGATCCCACTCGATGCACAATAACTACATACAGATAATATCTTCAGGCAAAGATGCATACGAATTACCGAATTCGGTCAAAGCCATTCAGAGAGAAATCATGAAGAATGGACCTGTTGTTGCCGCTTTCACAGTGTTTGCCGACTTTTCGTACTATAAGAATGGGATCTACAAGGTCGGGCTTTAACAGGAATACGCTTTTTTTTCGAGAAATGAACGACTGAGGTTCACATGTATCGAACAACCGAGGTTCACATTGTATCCAGAATTTTTCTACCGGTAGCCGCTCCAGTTGTTTTCTCCATGAAAATGCCTTTTTACTAGAAAAAAAACCGCACATCAACAATGCTTGATTTCAGCACACAGCAGGTAGAGCACGAGGAAGTCATGCAGTAAAAGTAATCGGATGGGGCAAGGAAGATGATGTCCCCTACTGGATCATTGCCAACTCGTGGCACAATGACTGGGGAGAGAATGGTGAGTCTACAAAGACGACATGGATTAGAACACTGCTGCCACATTGCGTACCGAGTGCATCACATGGTGAAGCATGAAATTCACGCTCGTATTTCTGTTTTCTTTATGAAGCAATACTAGTCAAAATTCACAAACATATGTTTTCGAACATGCTGAACAACATAACTGCTCGGGACTCCAACAGCGGAGAAAATATAGAGCTACACCATAATATTAATCACAAATCTAACGCTACTAACAAGTTTTATTGTAACATTTCTTCTGCACTCTTGTGAACTAATTACAATAATCATTGTACTCGTATTCAAACTAATACAACTGGACACATGTGAAAGAAGTGGAACTCGCTAACGCTTATAATTTTGTCTCTTGTCCGAGGTATCGTTGTTGCGAAGTGGAGAGAGTGCAAAATCTCAATGGAACGGTTTCTTTTCATCAGTTTGGCTGCGAAAGATCCGCTGTATATAATTCCTGTAGACCAGTATTCTCTGAAACCAGACCTCTTCTCGATGCTCATATGAAAACAAATAGCTGAGATCTTGTAGAACTCCTGCTCTACGGGCACAGACAAAGTCGAATACTTGGCGGATCCGTAACGGTTCGATTCTTCAATCACCAGTTTCACCAATTCGACTGTCATGAATAACTTGTAAAAACTCATTGGATTGCTGGATGCATAGACATCGTTGGATTCCACTATCCTCGGTAAAAGGAACTACACTTGGTTGAACTATAGTCGAAGACCAACCGGCGTCAGACTCCCCTTCACTATCTTCATCATCACTTGACTCAACGGCGTCAGCGAGCAAACTATCAGGAGCTCCCGAAACTTCTTCACTGTCTGCTTCTACATCGCTATNCCAAAGCTTCCATCTGGAATACTACCAGAATCGATAACAGAACTTCATTGGACTTAAAGTTGCTCTCCCGAAATGAGACGATGGGACACAAAGTCGATGTGTGGAAAGAAGCGCACCCTTCGCCTCGTCGGAACACTTTGAAGTCAAGAAACTTCGGCCGGTTGGAATTGTTACCGCAAGATTTAGCACTAGTAGATTTTATTAGATTTAGATTTAGCACACACAGCTGACCAATAGAAATCTCTTAAATCACAAGGTGTTAGACAGATATGTTGTTCTCCATATGCGAAAACGTTATAGAAGAAAATCGGATCCCATTATTAGAGAATTCACAATGTTAGAAAAAAGCCGTTCCGTGTGGCCAAGTGCATCACATAGTGATGCACGCTGCGAGCCGAAAAGAAATTCGCTTAGCCACGCCCGTCGGAAAATCGCAGAGGGCGCCGGTACGCAACGTGTTAATGCTCAATCCATGTATGTTATTTATCACTACATATTAGAATCGTCAGTAAATCGTACAGGTTACTTCCGCATGATTCGCGGAACAAACCACTGTGGAATAGAAGGCCATATGGTCGCTGGACATGTTTGAGAGAAGTGCAAATGTTTATGGAACGTATAATAAAGTTTTCGAAGAATTTTGTTCGATGAGAACGGCTATACACCATAATGATAGGCGTCGAAAGACGGAATCAATTGTTGAAAGCGAAGAATCCTCACTTCAGAGTTCTACTTGTGAACTCTTAGTACAAATTTGGACAGAAAAGCTATAGTAGCCCTCGGGAAGCTACCAATGCAAAAATCCAAACCCTCAGAACTCGCATAGCACGTAAAAACCGGGCGTGCCCAAGTTGTTATCTACATGTTTAGACAACGGATCTAAGAGCTTTCATTTCAGATTTCTAAACATACTCAACGAGCTCACGTCAAAATTTCTATCTGCCTATCCTTTTGCCGAAAATATCGATTTCACCTGAAAAAGCATCACGAAGGGTAGGCCAAAATGTGGAATGGGTTGCCCATAGGAAAAGATCAACAGAGCAGAAGTTAGCCTAGCGCAGCTCTGCTCATTTCTGTCCTGCGAGGGCAGGAGATGCACAAGAGTGAGCGGTCTCATGAGCAAAATTCCTAATCCATTCTCATAACGGAAATGAAGAAAGATGAGGAATGGGTCAGCGGATAAAAGGAAGGAGACCCAGGAATTGTGAGCGGAGCGTTCTCATAGTGGTCAATACTTTCTGTACAAGGTAACGCAACCAATCTACGAAAGACTTGAGGTCAAAAAAAAATTATCATAGAATTATGGGTGAGGTCCACTATGTGCTTGGAACAGCGAATTTAGCGAACTTCGTCTACATTGAGCCGGGCATGTATTCAAAAACAAGTTGCTTTTCGAAAAAATTATAACTTTGTTCAAAAACATTTTCAAATTCGGAAAGAAGGTGGAGAAATGTACAGAAGGAATGCGTTAAAATCCTGTTCTGAAATCCTGTGACTTCTACAGTCACCCTGACAGCGTAGACGTATATCCTGTGGATTGCTTAACCTGTGCTTTCCCAAGTGCATCGCGGAGGAAACACGATTTTTGCGGCCTATGCAGACATTTTAGTGCTTGAAATTGTTAACTTTTATTTGTAAATGTTCTCATTTCCCAAAGAATGTCTTTGAAAGGGATGCGTTTGATCTGATAAGGGGCCCTACGTTTAGTTTATGCTCGAATTCCCAACGCTTACCTGCCACATATCGCAAAGCAAATGACAACGAGCCTTCAAATCCACTGGCATGCGCTATGCTTTTCTCCTTTTCATTCTTCTCACTTCGACTCTTCCGCTACTCTGCGCAGCTACTGTATTCACTGCGCCGTGTTGTTATATTCGAATAAACATCATCTGTGCTGTATACGGTTACCGGTATGGAACCATCGACAGACGGCAAGTCCTTGTATGTGCCGTACTCTCAAAATCGATGTCCCTATTGACAGAGAGAAGGTCCTCCTGTAGAGACATACATTCGCTACATGGACTGAGACTCCCACAGTAACATTGACAGCGTAGAGGTATATCCTGTGAATTGCTGTAAATTCCTGTGCTTTCCCAAGTATGCCATACTCTCGAAATCGGTGTCCCTATTGACAGAGAGAAGGTCCATCAATGGTGACTTACACCACATGGACTGGGACTCCTACAGGAACCATGAAAGTGTAGATGTATATCCTTCGGGTTTATTGCTGTAAATTTCTGTGCTTTCCCAAGAGTTCAATGGCGCCCGGTAGCTGGCAGACGGCAATCGTTTGGATGGATTTAATCATCGCTTAGATAACCATCTAATTCGGTAAATTTTCGATTAGGTATAACCGGTGCTCTACGATTTTCACTGGAGTAACTATGCATGGCTCAATCTGATTGTCCCGTCTACCGTGCCTGAGATGAATGGGGTCTATGTCTTCGGTTTTCTTGTTAATCTTCATGAGGGAAATTGATTATGAGTGAATACCTTCAATACTACGTAGAAGCAAAATTCAGCGGTGATGTTGACGGTGAGTCCAAGTTGCTCTAGAAGATCTCTTTGAATTGTCGAGGTTTTCCATCTTGAATGAGGGAAATCCACAAAGCAGAAGAAACGTAGAGATTGTGGAGCCATACAGTTGCCTGAAACATGTAAACCTCTCCACTGGATAGTTTTGGAGCAGCAAACAAGTAATTAAGTTGACCTTATCAGCCTAGGCGAAATGTCAATACCCGAAATGAAAGCTTCACAGCCGACAATGTACTGGAAGTCTTGTCAATGTGGAAATGCACAGTTACCCAGTTGAGCGTCGGATAATTGGAGCCAGCTAAAGCTAAGAAGAGGAATAGGAAGAGGAAAACAAGGAAAGGAAAGGAAGAATCAGTAAACTATAATGGAGGATAACACAGAGTAAAGCGGAGTAGTCCAAGCCAAGTGCAGTTTTTCGCGGAAAGACGATGTGAATGGAACTAAATCAATAATCGCCAGCCCTTCGCAAGTTTTTCTATTGAACAGGCAGATCATTCAGTTAGAACAAATTTGATCTCCTCACAATCATTTCCCTTTCATTTTCCATTTCCATTTCTTTTTCTTCCTCTTTTTCCCTTTATTCAATTCGTGGTGGATATTGTTGCTGCGCTTGTACTTGTTTAGCTAGAAGGGATAGGGCCCTCCGAATATATTGAAGGGGAAGGTTTAGGCTTTCGGTGTTGGGTTTCCGGCGTCCCGGTTGGGATGCTACCATGCATTTGACTTCATTTCAATACAGCAGTGGAGTTTTTCTCTATATGAACTTAGCCTACATATATTTAAATGCATATACAGGGTGCGCCATAAATATGGTAACAGCCTTTCGGACGTCCATAATTTCCTTGTTTGTAGAGTTTCTCCAAATCTGCATCTTCCCTTATGTTCATGATATACCTCAGACTACATATCTACTTTGGCGCTCCCAACTTCGAAAAACGATGGAGCCTCGTAGACATCCACCAGCTGTTCTGTTTTTGCGCGCAATTGAGTGAATCCCTTCCCGGAATCGCTACTCGTTTCAACTTTTCCCCACTGACGGTATCTTGAAGC